AATAAATTATTCATGTTTATATAATTAAGTTGCAAAATATACTTGTTATTGTTATTAAATTATATGAATATTAATTATTTATTTTAAAATTATTTATGGTACATTTGAAAAACTATTGAATAAAATGTTAAATGCATTTAGATATAAATAAATATAATTTACATACTAATATACTGTGTTGTGCATAACTGCATTGTGCATAATTAAGTAATATCAATTATTTATTAATTTACTATTAAATGATTAATGTTGACATATATATATATATATTTATTAAATTACATGTATATTAATTATTTATAGGTAATCATTTATGGTACATTTTAATTTTAATATATGATGATTACCTCAGTCATACACTGTACACAATTAAATAATACTTCAAATGTCATTTTCCAAAAAAAAAAAAAAAAAAGAACGAGACAAAACAAAAGTATTACCATGGTTGAAAAGCATGCTAATAACATAAGTGGAAAGATGTAATTGACAGGGTTTCCGGTATATATCTCAGTGTTTCCATACACTACCCTTACACAAGGCTTTCTCACTCCCTGAGGAAAACACACAGGCTTTTCCGAGCTTTTCTCTCTTGAGTCAATACCATGAGTGTGACAGCTGTGTCTCAAAAACAGCACCGTCCCGCTGACAAACACCCACCCCGACGACAGGATCTTAGAGAAGGAATCCGTTCGCAGGACGCGGCTGTCTACGTCCATGGACAGAAACGTTGGAGCCCACGGCTGGATGACAGCAGAGCAACAGAAGAAGAGAGGATTGACTTTACACTGGTTCTTACTGAGTGTTATCTTATCACAGCTGCAATTCAGAGGCTATCAGAGAGGTCAGTATATGACTACTGCTGCATGCTAATCAACCACACAATACAAACACACGCTGTGAATAAAGCGATAAATCAGAGGAACTTACTTTTTGGAATTGCAGGAAATAGTATGGGTCATCTTCAATGATAAGAAAATCATATTTCCTGGCAAGCTGCAAATTAAAAACACAAACACATGCGACATTGCCATTGGTCGGGAAAAACAAACAGCCCCGCCCCCAAACTCACGCCATTGGTTGAGAACAAACAGCAATATTTACACTTAAACTACAAACTCTCATAGCTGTCTTTTTTACATTAAAAACATTTTAACATGTAAAAATAATATTAAAAATAATATAGTAAAATAGTAAACTAGTACTAGAATAGTATATTAATATTTTTAATTAGAATTAATTTGTATAGTTTAGTATTATTTATATACTTGCATATCATATATTAATACTTTGAATTCACTTTTGTTTTTATATTTTCAGTTTTCATTGTAGTTTAGCATTATTTATATACTACTATATATATATATATATATACTGTACATATTATGAATTAGCTTTTGTTAATATTTTTTAGTTTTCATTTTAGTATTTATACACTAAGCATGTATTAATATTTTGAATAAGCTTTTAGTTAAATATTTTCATTTTCATAGTTTGTTTTGGTTTAGCATTATTTCTATACTTGTATAGTATATATTATGAATTAGATTTAATTTAATATTTTCAGTTCTCGTTTTAGTTTAGTATTATTTACATACAAGTATAGTATATACTAATATTTCAAATGAGGTTTTATTTTAAGATTTTAGTTTAAGTAATATGTTATGTGCTTTTGTAATCTTTATTCATTTTTGGGGATTTTTTTTCACCAAATTTTCTATATAGCTTTAATTTATTTTTATTTTTAGTAATTTTAGTACGCCAACTTCAGATTATTTATTTCAGTTAGTTGTCGAGAAGACATTTCTAATTTATTAAATTTTTTTTATTATTATTTATTTTTGTATTTTATTTCAGCTTTATTTACCGACAATTGAAATAAAGCTGAATTTTTTTATACATTTAGTATAATATTATAATTTTTTTTATAGCATAATAGAAAGAGCAAGTAAACACACTCTAAATCACAAATGTCACACAAAGCATCTGAATATACTGGTAAGGTTGGACAGGCAGCATTTAGGCCAGACTCAAACTCTATGCAAGTACACAAACGCAGAATTGAACGACGTACGTTGTGTGCAACTCTGCTCACCTCATAGACTTCCTGTTTCCTCTCACTGGTCATGGACGCTCCGGTGGGGTTGCCTCCGTTCGGGATGGTGTACAGGACTCTCGGGACGCTGCTTCCCGGTTTCTGTGTGTCTGCCGGGTCCCACCGCTCCAGAATATTCCTCAGATCCGCAGGGATCATGCCGTGCTGATCGCTCGCCACATTAATGAGGTTACAGCCCAGCGGCTGCAGCTGTTGAGGAAGGAGTTGGTAATGTTTACATTTAATGGGTCGAGAGAGAGAGAGAGAGATCGCAGGTAAAACATGGTGATGATGGGAAATGTGCTTCATACAGCCGCCAGCGTTCCTGAGTACGTGGGAGCGTCGAGAAGGACGTTGTCTCCAGAATTGACCAGCATCTCAAAGATCTGATGAACAGAGCGAAGAAGAAAATTACCATGTGATGTCCGCAGGGATCATGCCGTGCTGATCGCTCGCCACATTAATGAGGTTACAGCCCAGCGGCTGCAGCTGTTGAGGAAGGAGTTGGTAATGTTTACGTTTAATGGGTCGAGAGAGAGAGAGAGAGAGAGAGAGAGAGAGAGAGAGAGAATGGGAAATGTGCTTCATACAGCCGCCAGCGTTCCTGAGTACGTGGGAGCGTCGAGAAGGACGTTGTCTCCAGAATTGACCAGCATCTCAAAGATCTGATGAACAGAGCGAAGAAGAAAATTACCATGTGATATTATCCTAAATTATGGCACATAATTCTATATGCATATCACTAATAATATCAAGCATAATTCTCAGTTTATCAGGAACTTTATGCTCTTCTTATGTATCCACAAGAACATATATTATTATATTTGTATATTATTAGCATATTACATGTTATTTTAGTACAATTGAGATGTAGTTTTTTGTGAATTTTTTATTATTATTAAATTTTCTGCTTTTATTTTAACTTAAGTTAAAGTTTTAGTGTTTTTGCCATTTTCACAGATTTTGTTAATTTTATTTCAGTTGTAGATATTTTAGTACATCAAGTTGAATGAAAATGAGACTAAATGAAACTAAACTTCAGTTAACGTTTATAACGTTGAATTCTCGCTTTACAAACATCAGGAGTAACCTGTCTCCACAAGAGCATTTATTAGGGACAGTGTTATTTTTGTGTCATTGATATTATATTTTTATAACTATCATAGTTTTTATTAATATTTTTTATTTACTTTTTTGTTAAAGTTCTAGTAATTTTGTGTATTTGTATGATGTCTATATAGTGTTTTTATTAATTTTTTATTTCAGTTTGAGTTATTTCAATACATAAACTCAAACTAAATGAAAATGAGAAATGTTGCCTTGGCAGCAAGTTCAAATAAAACATGTTTAAGTTAATGTTTATTTTATTTTTAGTAAAAAAATTTTTGTTAATAAATTTACATTTATGCTATTATGTGTCTTTTAATATAATTTGTCTAAAAAGCGCAATGTCGTGCGCTTTGCTTGGCCATTTGTTGTGATAAACAGGAAAGTGTGTCCAGCTGAATTCAATTTGAGTTTTGTTAAACGAATATAAAAAGCTTAGTATACCGCGGCAACCCTCGTGTGAAGCTCTCCTCGTATGAAGACCGAAGAGTGTAAAGACCATTGACTCTACCGTTCGACTCCACCGAGCAGGGACATTCAGAACATGCAACACAACTCCTTGTTCAAGCTCTTGTTCTATCCAGGCTGGACTATTGCAATGCTCTCTTGGCAGGTCTTCCAGCCACTTCTATCAAACCTCTACAATTAATCCAAAATACCGCTGCAAGATTAATCTTTAATGAGCCGAAAAGAATGCATGTCACACCTCTGCTCATCAATTTGCACTGGCTACCAGTAGCTGCTCGCATTAAATTCAAGGCATTAATGTTTGCCTACAAAACCACCACTGGCTCTGCACCCATTTACCTAAATTCATTTCTTCAGAGTTATGTGCCTCTAGAAGCTTGCGTTCTGCAAGTGAACGGCGTATTATTGTGCCATCTCAAAGAGGCACAAAATCACTTTCACTGTTTTCATTAACTGTTCCCTCCTGGTGGAATGACCTGCCCAAATCAATCTGAGCAGCTGAGTCCTTAGCCATCTTCAAGAAACGACTAAAAACACATCTATTCCACCTTTATTTGACCCTCTAACTCTAGCACTTTCTATTCTATTTTAATTCTACTTTATCTAGATTTATCTTCTTTTTTTATTTAAAAAACAAATACTAGCTTTCTATTTTTTCTAATCTATCTACTTGTTTTTATTTGTGTGTATGTTTGTGTGTATAATATATATATTATATATATATATACATATACCTTGCTACGTGTACTGCGTTAGGCTAACCGAGACTTGTCATTTGCACTTATATATTGTTGCTCTTTTAGTGGTTTTGACTGCTTTTATTGTCCTCATTTGTAAGTCGCTTTGGATAAAAGCGTCTGCTAAATGACAATGTAAATAATTTATATACTATTACAGTATTTAGTAATATACTAACTGGATTAGTTTTTACATTTTCTGTTTTCATTTTAATTTTAGCTCTTTTTTTGGAAGTTTTCTTTTTTCTATACAACTTCAATTTATTTTATTTTAGGTTTTAGTCATTTCAGTATGTCAAATTCAACCTATTTTAGTTAGTTGTTAATTAGTTATTAGTTTTAACTTTCAAGTTTATAATTTCAATTATTTCACGTTTATTTTAAGTAACAAAATATGTTTTTTTTAAATGGTTTTAGTTTACATTTATGCATGTGACAAACGCTTTTATCCAAAGCGATTTACATTGGGTTCAAGGTACACGTTTTATCAGTTCTCACTTTCACTGGGAATCAAACCCATGACTTTTGTGCTTCTACTGCAATGCTCTACTGTTTGCGCTACAGGAAGGCCTAGTTGATTATAATAACCCTGAATAGGGATGCATATGTATATTATATAGGTGACCATATTATTATTATTAGCCACAAGTAGCACTTTAAAATCCATCTAATTAGTTCCAGATTGAAAACAGATTATCTGATGTGTGATGTTAACGGTGTGTATGTACTTTGCAGAGCCCCTCCTGACTGCCGGTGGTGACACACATCTCCATCTGTCCTCTCTCTGGACTGTAGCCGGCGGTGGGAGGATTGTGAAGGCTTTTCTGAAGATCCTTCATCCACGAGAGCAGCTCAGGAATACTGCCAACACACGGATTATTTTTCACATAAAATAATTCCACACTGTTCTGTCCCTTCTCTGAGAAACAGGCTGATCTTTTCCTGTTTTTATGAAGCCCCTCCCTCAGAAATAGGCGATGGGCTCTGATTGGTTAGCTAGCCCAGTGTGTTGTGATTGGCTAAACCGCCTCTAGTGCGTGTCTAAAAGTCCCGCCCCTCACCTCAGCGGCATGTGCTCCGGTTGTATTGTAAACAACGGCTTCGTTAATCGCTTATCAGTTTGAGCCCGATTGAGAAGCAGAGGATATTAGTGAAGAGGATCGCGAAGTCTCTCTCAATTTTTTTCCTTTTATTGGAAGTCATGAAAACACTATCGTGGAGTTTTTCTTTTGCTATTCCAGCAAATGGGAATGCAAAAAAATATATTTGTGGTACTCTACCATTCACTGCTCTTCAAGTTAAACCAACTATGACGACTTCCGCTGCTGAGAAACCCGGAAATGTGAAAAAGCTCCATGGAATATATTTTCTTACTGTTTGTATTTTTATATCAATATGGTATAAGATTGTCCTATTTAAATCAATGTGATAAACGAGTTAGGTCAAAAGTAATCAAAAGTAGTCTGATTATATTACCTAAAATCTGTAATGTAATGGATTACGTTATTAACTACAATGTAATTTGGAATCAGTAACGGATTACAATTTGTGAGTAATCTACCGAGCGCTGCTTATTATATATTTTTTATTATTATTATAATAACGGGAGCTTTCACTCAGTCAGTCAGCTTGCGCTGCAAATGATATCAGCTTCATTTATTATAAAGAGAGCGCTTTTTGCTCGGTACCATGACATTGCTCGGACAACCGTGGAATTTTACTGGCATTGGTACCGACTACTGAAATTTTGTTACACATACAGTAACTCCAAACACCAGTGTGTATTGTGATACCCGTATGAGCCGGAGTACTGCAGCGCTCTCTTCATCAGAGGCTCGTCCATCACCAGCGCTTCGCCTCCCTTCACTTTAATGCTGGCCGACTGGAACGGGAAGGTGTTGGGATTGGGAGCTCCTCCGGCCAAAGAGATCAGAGACGGGGGAGACCGCTGCTGAAGCTCCGCTGGATCAGAACCAAGCCACAAATTAGGACATGTCGTGGGTTACAAACAGTCAAATAATAATACAAATCACACTCACTCAGTATGCGGATAGGTGACGGTTTTCTCGCCACGCTCACAGCTGTCAGAAAGCGAGCGTAATTCATGCTTCTGATGGGACGCAGGTGGAGAACATTTCGTAAATTAGACATTAGAAATTGTGATTTTCATTTCTGTACATCTGTATTACAGGGTTTGTCATACAGGAACGCCAATGGAGTTTAAAAATTCATAATTTGGAAGCAATCTTAATAGGAGTTTAACGGTATTATCCAAATTTTGATGGATTATAGAAGAATCTAATCAATTAGAAGTTTAGAAACACTGTAAAAAACCCAAAGTTCCTTGTTGGATATGAAATGGTTCCAAATGAAACTGTATTACACAGATTTACTGGATAGAATCATTTGATCGTAGAAGTAATTAATCACTTAGAAATTTCATTTGTAAAAAGCCTATTAAAGCTGCAGTCCGTAACTTTTTTTGGTTAAAGCTGGGTGGCCCGATGGATGAGGAGGAGCGATGGCTGGACGCGCTGGAGAAAGGAGAGCTGGATGATAACGGAGAGCTGAAGAAAGACATTGACGAGTCTCTGCTCACAGCCAGACAGGTGCCATATAAAACACACACAATCTAAACAATCTTAAAACTCCACAAAACCTCCAAATGGAGACCTCACCATAACCAGACATGATGCAGGGTTATTATTGTTAACTTTAAAGGTGAAATAATGGAATATAAATAGTAGATGACAAAGTGAAATGACCCTGGACCACAAAACCAGTCATAAGGGTCAATTTTTTGAAATTGGGTCAATGGAAATAAGCTTTCCATTGATGTATGGTTTGTTAGGATAGGACAATATTTGGCCGAGATACAACTATTTGAAAATCTGGAATCTGAGGGTACAGAAAAATCTAAATATTGAGAAAATCATCTTTAAAGTTGTCCAAATGAAGTTCTTAGCAATGCATATTACTAATCAAAAATTAAGTTTTAATATATTTATGGTAGGAAATTTACTAAATATCTTCATGGAACATGATCTTTACTTAATATCCTAATGATTTTTGGCATAAAAGAAAAATCTATAATTTTGACCCATACAATGTATTTTTGGCTATTGCTACAAATATACCCCAGCAACTCAAGACTGCTTTTGTGCTCCAGGGTCACATATGTTACTTCAGTTATTTTTATTTCTAATTTTCATCTAGTTTAAGTTGAAGCACTAAAATGACTAACTACAAAAAAAAAAGTAAAACCGAAATAAAATAAATTTAATCTAAATAGTCATATTTAAAATAAACAAAAGTAATAACATTAACAAACATACTGACTAAAAATGTAACTAAAATGTAAACTGAAAGTATAAAAATAAAAGCAAATTCAAAATATCAATTAAATCTATAATAGTTTATTAATATTATTAAAATAACACCAACATAATGCATTAAGTTATACGGTACCGTTCAAACGTTTGGTGTAAGATTTTTTTTTTTAAGAGATTGATGCTTTTATTCAGCAAAGACATTAAAATAGTCAAAAATGACAGTAAAAACATGTTACAAAAGATTTCTATTTTAAATAAATGCTGTTCTTTTGAACTTTCTATTCATCAAAGAATCCCGAAAATTAAAATGCATCGCAGTTTCCACAAATATGAAGCAGCACAACTGTTTTCAACACTGATAATAATCAGAAATGTTTCTCGAGCAGCAAATCAGCATATTAGAATGATTTCTGAAGGATCATGTGACACTGAAGAGTAGAGGAATGATGCTGAAAATTCAGCTTTGATCACAGGAATAAATTACATTTGAACAGATATTCACATAGAAACCGTTATTTCAAATTGTAATAATATTTCATGATTTTACTGTACCATATGTTTTTTATCAAATAAATGCAGCCTTGGTGAGCAGAAGAAACAGTACTTGTAGGTTTTATCACCCAAAATATGATTTGATGAGCTAAAAATGAATAGTTGTTGATTGGTGACTTTATATGAAGTATTTGACATTTAACTGATCTTCACCTGAACAAAGTTTCGTCTCCATCTAAACAGAAAGCGCTCTTACATAAGCAGCAGAGCCAGCCGTTACTGGAGCTCCTAATGGGATACAAAGAGAAGGAGCTGACGGCCCGAGATGATGCAGAAGCGCGAGGAGCGCGCTCGCAAAGACGCCTGCAGGCCGCCAAGAAAGCCGAGGAGAACAAGAACCAGACCATCGAGAGACTGACCAAGACCAGCAAGGCCAAGATCAAGAGCATGAAGGAGCGCAGGTCCAAGCAGGCGCAGCCGCCCATGGTGAGGTACAGCAGTAATGTTCAGGGCTCCGCCGTCTCGTACCCCACCGGGATCCCCGTCCCGACGCCCGCTGCCCCGCGAGCGCCTCCCCCCGCGCCCCTGAGCTGCGGCATGTCCGGATGCTCCAACCTGAAGAAATACTCCTGCTCCAAGACGGGGACGCCGCTGTGCAGTCTGGTGTGCTACAGGAAGAACCTGACGCTGGTGCAGGAAGTCGCTTAAAGTGGTCTTTGTCAATGGAGTGTATTTACAAATAGTAGGTCGATGCAATTATGTTGAACAAAGACAAAAGTCTTTGATTAATCAGTGTAAAATCATGCTGAAGTTTATTTGTTTTGTGCATTCAAAGCGATTCATGAAACACAAGCAGTAACACTTTACGGTACGGTAAAAAAAAATGTATATTAGGTTTTCTGAACCAACAATGAATAATTTTTACTGCTATTATTAATCTAACTTAATGTAAATGTATAAATAAATATAAATGCATGTATGTGTATATACAGTGGGGAAAAAAAGTATTTAGTCAGCCACCAATTGTGCAAGTTCTCCCACTTAAAAAGATGAGAGAGGCCTGTAATTTTCATCATAGGTATACCTCAACTATGAGAGACAAAATGAGGGAAAAAAATCCAGAATCCAGATCACATTGTAGGATTTTTAAAGAATTTATTTGCAAATTATGGTGGAAAATAAGTATTTGGTCAATAACAAAATTTAATCTCAATACTTTGTTATATACCCTTTGTTGGCAATGACAGAGGTCAAACGTTTTCTGTAAGTCTTCACAAGGTTTTCACACACTGTTGCTGGTATTTTGGCCCATTCCTCCATGCAGATCTCCTCTAGAGCAGTAATGTTTTGGGGCTGTCGCTGGGCAACACGGATTTTCAACTCCCTCCAAAGATGTTCTATGGGGTTGAGATCTGGAGACCGGCTAGGCCACTCCAGGACCTTGAAATGCTTCTTACGAAGCCAGTGTAAATGGTTCATAGAACTACTTTGAATCGAATATATTTCTATGTAAATCATTCTGTAAAAACATTGTTGCATTGAATTTGAGTATAGAAATGTTTTGTAACACGTTCATTCTTGCGTTTAATTATGACTTGAGAGCGCAGCCTTATTTTTGTAAAAAGACTGAAATAAAGAACAGCTGAAGTAAATCTGCATTCATTTATTTGATAAACGATGCACATTTGTTGGTTGAACAATGTATTACAAAACTTCGGAGAACATGACGTTCTACACCTTCAATAAAATACAAAAACTTTTTCATTTCACAAAGTTCAGAAGTGTCGTTAAGGCTTTGGTTATAAATGCCGCTTTAAAAAAACTAATTTCACTTGATCCAGCAAGGAAAAGTCAAGTGAAAAACATAATTTCATGATCAGTTCTGCTGCAAGTGTTCATAAGCAAGTCAATTGTGCCCGTTGAAAAATTCCAGCATAGTCTGAGGTATTAAAGTTGTTTTCACCATTTCAATGCATTTTATTGTCTGACTCATCAGACTGGTTCATTAGTTTATTGCTACAGATGTTGCTGTTTGTATTTAACTTCCATTGTGCAAAACCCTTCATAGTTTTAAGCCCACAACAACATATGATTAAAACAAGGAATATTTCAGCCAAAAATGAAAATTTACTCTCAGGTCATCCAAGATGTAGATGAGTTTGTTTCTTCATCAGATTTGGAGAAATGTAGCATTGCATCACTTGCTCACCAATGGATGCTCTGCAGTGAATGGGTGCCGTCAGAATGAGAGTCCAAACAGCTGATAAAAACATCACAATAATCCACAAGTAATCCACACCACTCCAGTCCATCAGTTAAAGCAAAAAGCTGCGTGTTTGTAAGAAACAAAGACGTTTTTAGCTGTCGCTTCTGGCTAAAATACGAGTCCATAATAACGCTTCCTCCAGTGAAGATGTGGTCTTGTCTGAATCAAGAGAAATCTGAACAGATCAAGCGAATCAGTCCAAAACAGCTCAAAACATATATGTTGGTGGATTTTGATGTGAGAGACAACAGGAGATGGACTTTTTCACTGGAGGAAACGTTATTATGAATTATAGACACATATTTTGGCCAGAAGTGATAGTTTGAAGTTAAAGGGTTAGTTCACCCAAAAATGAAAATTAGGCTGTGTTTTACTCACCCCCGAGGCATCCTAGGTGTATATGACTTTCTTCTTTCAGACGAATCCAGTCGGAGTTATATTAAAAATTGTCTTTGATCTTTCAAGCTGTTTCATGGCACTCAGCGGGTGTTGCATGCATCAGTCCAAAAGAATCTAGCTTGCGCTCACAGTTGTACACATAAGCAGTTCCGGGCGGATGACGTATGAGGTTGGCGTTGCTCATGCGCCGGTGAGTCTCGTGAAAACCAACGTTTGTTTACAGGAGCAAAGGAAGCAAAGTTTCCTTACTTTAGCAAAGGAAAACCAGTCTCCTCGCGGCTTATATCGAAATCCTCCGACATTCTTCTTTACAAATAGTGACCGGTGTTTTGTTTTGTTCTCTCCGCTGCGCTTCCGCGTTCGTCACTTCTGAGCAGTGTATGCGCAGCGCTGACCTCATACGTCATCCGCCCGGAGCTGCTTCCGTGAACAACAGTGAGCGCAAGCTACATTAAAGTGATTATTACGTTTTGAATATGGATATGTTTCTTACAAAAATGCATTGATTCGCTACAGAAGGCCGTACGTTTTTTTTTATGGATGGTCACTTTTTATTTAACTTCTTTTGGACTGATGCATGCAACACCCGCTGAGTGCCATGAAACAGCTTGAAAGATCAAAGACAA